CCAGTTGCTTAAATTGGAAAATTTACTGCGATGATCATACTTCACTTTCATCTACTACCGCAGTTCAAATATGAATTATTTCATATATACTTCACATTAGATGATGCTGTTGAGCGGCGAAATCACTAACACGCTCGCAGTTGGGTTGGAGGCAGAGAGCTTTGCCAAACAAAACACTGCATAAATTTAAATCTTTCCAAAGCGCCTGTTGGGAGATTCGCAAGAACATCACGGCTTGCGATGCGCGATTCCAACACTTCGATTTGCTCTGGTACCGTTTTGATTTGCTCCGGTTCCAAAACATTCCTGCAAGATGTCACAGGTATCTTGAATGTTGACAACACGTTGTCAACGCTCCCAACATAAGCCAATCATATTTTTGTGTTGTGAGAGCAACGCATAATTCAAACTTTTGGGCTTAGGCGGTAGTCCCTCCTTTCGCGCACTCCTCGCCTCCAGTATTTCGCGTGGCCATTTTTTTCTCGCAGTTTTCTTTCGCGTCATGCACGACGGACTAAGCGAAAGAGGGACTACTCGTAGTCTAGAATAACTTAATTAGGCAACCAAGGTTCTATTTCTTAAGACTAAATAGGCTATTATTTAGGCTAACTGGAATGGCTAGCATAATAGCTTGCATGACTCACTGCCTCGCACTTTGTGCAGACCCTATCAGACATGTTTATGGCGAGAGAAAGGTTACTTAGTAATTTTTGGGTCAGTTCTTGCATCACTTGCCATTTGGATTATGTTGGCTGAGTGGAGACAATGGGTGAGTCACCGCCAACAACAGAGTATCAGGCCTCTAGACAATGAGGCCATTAATTAGCTTTCTAGGGTTGACCAGGTTACAACAAAGTTCTTGTTCAATGAATTATTCTTGCCAGTTCACTTACATAGTAGCAATAACTCCTGGAGTGTATTCTGATGGTTTAGCACAGTTCACTGATCTCTGGGTTGTGCCGCTGGTCAGAAACTGACCCTGATGGTTCAACTGTACCACGTTATCAGTCAAATCTATAAGTGATGATCATTCAATTATAATGTATTCCTAAAAAGTAAGACATTACTTTGAAAAAAGATTAAACGAGACATATTCACACAGTATTGACAACTGAAAAGTAAAGTTTGCAAGAGATGTTAAAACAATTACTATTTACAATACATACTCAATATCTTCTCCAGGCCATTTGTTACATCATCGTCACTGCAATTCTTTGGAACACACAATCCCCACTGTATTGGTAATGTCTGATTCTGAAAGCAGAAAATTGCAACTTTCAAATCTGGTGTAACTGAAGAAAAATGAACTCTTGAAACTCAGTTAAAACAAATCATGCTGCTACATAAGATAAACTGTAACTTGGTAAAGTATTGACTTCAGACTTAACAATTGAAAGTACATTTGAAAACACCTTGTAAAAAGGCACACACTAAAAGCAGTACTTCTTTTAACTTGATAGAAACATAGATCTAGTGTAAGCTGTTAACAAAATATTGTCCTGCAAGCAAAAATAATTCACGTTTTGGTGATCAAAATGACCAAATGATTTTCAATTCTTTTTCTTGCAGTGATTTCTAAATGAAAAGGAAAACCTTTTTTCTATGTGACTATCAAGTCATAGAAACACTCGTGAAAGTTCAGTAGAACCCCAAAAAGCTGTAAAAGTAATTGTCTGGGGCTATTCTTTCCACAACACTTCTTGTTCTACCAAACTTCCACTCATGTTTTTTATAACTTGGTCAGATACAAGGAAAATGTTCGTACAAAGGGAATTTTTTGTGTTGTTTTTAGAATAATAAATGACACTGCAATTAGCTGCAATTAAGAAATTTGACAAGGTACCTCAAACTTAACTAAAGCTGGGGGTACTTAAGGTTGGTTTTTTAAACCTTTTACTGCACTGTTGAAAGCTGTTAGATATACTAACTTTATTTCCAGTTTTTAGATTGATCTTGATGCTAGCTAAACAGTAGTGAGCTCCCATTAAATTCTGACACTCTCCGTAAGATCCAAACCAGGCAAGATTGCCCACAGTGACTCCACTTTGAGGTTTACCCATTGCATCAATATCTAAATAAATATACAAATAAGTTCTCATCAGGAAAGTAGCTAGGTGAGTATGTAGGCAGCTAGGTAGGTCTGCATTCAGCCTGGTGCTTATCTGCACTTTTGTAGCTTGAAGCAATGAGGAGTAATTCTACCCCTTCCTCCATGGATGCTAGTGTATCACATGGTTACCCCCCCCCCCAGCATTTAATTCATAGCTTAGTGCCCATTTATACACCTGGTTGCAGAGAGGAACTGGGAGAGTAAAGTGTCTTGCACAAGAACACAACACAGTGGCACTAATACAAGCTTGAATCAGGGGTGTCTCAAAACTCAGACTCTTTGGATGTCTTGAAAACGCTGGTCCAAAAAATTAAACAACTTATGTCTTCGACTTGGCATTTAGCTGTGGCCATGAAATTTCTGGAAGAAGCACAGAATAATAATTTTATTAGAGAAGTATAAATTATATTGCCTGCCTTTTTCATTTGAAATTATTGTCTTCACTTTGCTGACTGCACCAGTCAGGACTAGGTACCTTTGTGTTTTCTGTTAGTCCTTATAGAAATTCAAGGTGCTAAGTTCTCAATACCAGTAGGTCACTTTCGATATATTAAAATTCAGCTTGATAGTGAGGCATAGAGGACACAACCAAAAGAAATGAATAAACCTGGTCATTCAATTTCCTTTGGTAGTGTCCTCTAAGCCTCACTGCTAAGCTGAATTTTAATACATCGAAACAGTCTATTGCATGAAATAGCTGACAAAAGTGGGCAGCTTGCCCCACAACCAAGCCACCGAAAGGGTTATGGACGTGCTCCCTCCAGTTAAATAATTCAGACATTAATCTAAGATTAAACATGCAGCAAAGTTTTCTCTCAACCATGAGGCATATGAGGAATCTTTTTTCCAAAGTACCCAACACAACCATGGGGGGTGGGGTGGGAATCAGGTAACAATAATATGAGGATAAGTCAAATCACTCCTTCACAGTATACAAAAAATCATAAATTAACCTGAGCAAAAAACTTGCTATGATGAAAAAATTAAAAAAGACTAGCTGAATATTACTCATTGTTAATGCCGCACAGGCGCAAGGCTTGTTCCATTACTCAGCATTACGTAAGCTCTATTTCTACGTGCCGGCCTGCGCGCCCGGCCGGGGGCGTTTCGTACTGTACTGCCGGCGAAAATTTGCATTGTACTGTAATATCAAATGGCAAAATGCAAAGAACTAATGGTGCAAAATGAATGGGAATGCTACTTTACCGCTGATCTCTAACGAAAAACCATGTACTTTTGCAAACTTACAAGCCACTAACTCCGTGACGTCAGAGGAGTTGGGATTCATCAACTTGTCATACGCTGCCTTGCACTGTGCGGACAGGGTTGAGTTAGGTAAAGGGACGGTGAAGTGATCATTCTGATGGAAACTCCGATAAACTGCACTAGGATGAACTGCGTCAGAATTTGACGTAAATAGCAGTAGCCAAATGAGTGAACAGAGAGACCGTGAAGACACCTTTGACACCATCTTGTTCGTGACTCTCGCGATCTTTCGTTCGGCTGAGTCTGCGATGCAGTTGTTGGCATGCGGTTGCTCACCAAAAAAATCTCCTAAAATATGTCCCCTTGACTGTCCCCTTGCGGTTCGGGCTCCGCGTGCTTTCACGTGGGAGGTTCGTGGAGATCAAGGTGGTGCAGGCGAGCACGCTCTCAGTTCAACGTTTGAAGACCTCCTTTAGAAGACTGAGAAGCTCAATTTAACAAAGGTATGTTCTGTTAGCGAGTGCAGAGAAGTGTTGCGTTTATTTCTCGTTCATTTGTCGAGCTGCCATTCAATTGTTTTTGGGTCGCTTGGGAAATCAGCTGTTGTGAAACCAGCTGAGTGACTCAACCGAGCGACAGAGTTGAAGTGACTGAAATTCCAACGCACACACAGTCTGGTTTTCACTAATGAGCGAAGCATAGCCGAGAACACGAACTCTACAAAAAGGCCGAGATAAATTAAGCATCAGAACGAGAATAGAAGTGAATTTTTTGTCGGTTTGTGCTTGCAAACGTTTTTCACGGCTGTGTCGTTTCGTACCTCATAGATCCTTGTCGGATAGCTGAGGATAACATTCCAAACGTGCTACGCCAACCCCACCTTATCCATGGTGGACAGCTCTTGTTTTGAGCGTAACGATCAACTTTTATCTCGATCCAAACCCAAGTAAACTTGGTCAATTCAATTATCGCATGCGACGTAACTTTTAAAAGCCTTGAATGGACGTGGATGTGGACGTGGATGGGGGGGGGGGAAGCTTCTTGAAAACCTCTCCTTACTCACCACGCGACCCAAAATTTGTTGCCTTATTTTCAGATTAGACCTTAAACTTATATGCTATTTTCAGACCTGCCTCATAATTCTTTCTCTCGTCCAGACGCATCTGAAAGACAATGTTTACATGCTTTTGTTATGTAGGCTGTAAGTCCTTGACGTTGACAATCTTGATTATCATGAATTAGTACTTATTTTTGCAAAATCCTCTTTCTAAAATGTTTGAAGTATGCCTAAAAAGGGCTTGTCACATCCTTGGGATGCTCAGAATTAAGCTTACCATTCTACATCTATTTCAAGCAGCCATAGGATTGTGACAATTTCAGACCTGCCAACCCCTGATAAAGGAAAATCTGGATACCCATGAAAAAATATCTGGAGATTCTACAAAAAAATTGTGAGATTCTACTTTTTTCTCAATTAAGATTAAACAAACCCTGTTTCCATTAAGGGCAGTCATTAAGTGTTCTTTTTAAGTGTTACCTTCATTCCTTTATTTGTGTTCCCTGTTGTAAGAAGATGCAGCTTTCTTTGATGATAGCAATAGGTCATCACTGGGACGAAACTTATAGCAAGGGGTCATCTCGGCATGGGATCAAGGTTCGGTTAATGGTTAACATAGCCGCTGCATAAAATTACTAGTGGAGGCCTAGGAACTAGGCAAAAATCGGCAGAAAAGCGGTAAACACAAGTACAAATGTAACAGTGTAGAGTTCTGCTTTATTCACTTATCACTTTATCAGTTTATGGCACTCGCTTTCCATTAATTTTTCATTCCTTTTATTTTACAGCTAATATTTCATTTCAGAATGATTTTCCCCAAAAAATTGTGAGAATGCGGAGTCTTGTTGTGAGGCCGTGAGAAAAGATAAAAAACCGCGAGACTCATGGCAGAGCCGTGAGAGCTGGCAGGTCTGCAATTTCTTTTTAACCACACGGCCATGGGCCGAGTGCGGTTCATGTTCTACCCATGGTTTTTTTTCTCTGTCAACGACCAGACGCAGACCTCCACTTGGCCAACTTTGAATTACGCAATCTGTAATGTTTACTTGCCAAACCTTGTTTCTTCAGGGTCAACAAAAATCTCAGATTACAAAGTCATGCTGAACTCACGCTTTGCATAAAAATCTCTTCAAAACCCTGACTTCGAAGCGATATATCACTTTAGCGTTAATAGCTACCTCATATCAGCAGTAGTAAAATCTATTCCTTAACAATCCAGCTTCATCATATTAAAATTTCAATGAAATTGAACAAAACCAGAGCTAAATATAATTAGATTTTTTTTTGTCACCTTGCTTCATCACTTGAGTCAACAAAGGAAGCGACGGTCGCCCATAGCCACTGAAACACACGAACATAACATGAACTGACGTTTCGGTCAAAAAAATCCAGGATTATTGCCTGTGAGCTGAAAATTGAAGAGGAACTTCTTTTTCAAATTTCTCAGGTTATTTAGATGAAAAAATGACCTCGGCGGGCTCCAAAAGAGAACGAAACAAAAAACAGAACAAGACAGTGAGAAGAGCCGATAATTTATTCAATTTGTTCACTGTGTGGCCATCGTTCAAGTTAAAAAAAGCTTACTTCTGGATAATTTCAGCCTTACAAGCCAGCAACTGGTCCCAAATTACTTTCTGTATCCTTACAAATGTCCTGACTTCCATCTCTGAAAGATTTGGCCTCAATTTTTGAGCAAATAAACATTTTGCCGATGGCAATCACCGTTGTGGTGGCTTGCATACTAATGTGCTAACTTTACAAAAAACTCCCGAGGGGGGGATATGATGAAAAGAGCTGAAAAATGATGGCCAAAAATAGGGTAATTTTCTCAGCTTCTGGTGTGCCAAATTTGCTGGAAATAGGTTCAAAACCGATTTTTTTTTTCGTTTTTTCTCTTCTTCGGCCCACTCACGATCTCATATCATGACATGTGCCAGAAGTAATTATGTCATCAGAGATTTCACAACGGCTACGACTGATGGTGCAATAATACAGGTTGTGTTGATCAAGTGATGTGGTGTCTGCAGTAATCAATGAATCATCAAGGACTGCTTTGGAATGTGCATTGCATTGCGACTGTAGTGTTACCAAAACAGTTAACTTTTAAAAGTGTGGTTGTAAGATCTTAAAGATCTTCTTGTTAAATATGTCTGAGCTGTCCTTTCAGCTCACCACCCATAATGCCTCTCTACAGCAAGTGATTTTTTTTTTTTTGCAGGATAAATGACTGTCCTGTTGTGACGTTAAATCCACACTCATGGTAACCTTTGACTGTCTCTTCTATCAATATGACATCCATTATAGTCATTATATAGAGATCAGTCTCTCTCTCTGTTATGCACATAACCAGTGTGATACACATGCTCTCTCCGAGCTCAATGTTGCAACTGCTGGGGCCGCCAATACGACCAGATTTTCATTGCTGACTAACTTTTCACACTTGGTCCCCAGGCTGGCCCCTAAGATTTCTTAATTCTTTTTCTTTTAAATTTTCATACTCATCGAATGAGTGGAATATATATTGAATACCAAACTATACTTCTCATTTGTATGCAAATAGCCTTTGAAACGGTGTTCCTCTTGTGAATTTTGCAGTGACTTTTGTCTGAAATGTGTTACAATTTGTTTTCAATTTTATTAACAGGATTCATCATTAATTATGTGCAATTTTTTTTCTTTCACATTATTTTTGGGTATTACAGTTACCAATGAAAACAGTCGTATGGTAAATATTGAACCTGTAAAGCTACTGCTTTGTCGAGTAAACATGACTCGCACTATACCGGTAAACATGCTCACATGGTCAATTTTCCTTAAGCTAGTTTACTTTTGTAAAAGTTGTCAGGCTTTTTTCATCCGTCCAAAATCTATTACATATGCTTAGCTTCCCAACTCTATAGTTTACAGGTTTCACTAAAACCTTAAATGGCGATATGGAATGTAGTTAACGAAAGATGTCCATTTCACTTTTCATCCAAAATAATATTTATTTGTGCACATTTCAGATTTTATCAGATTTTGCTATTCGGAATGATTCAATCGTATGTTAGCAGGACTTGTTGTACAATTAACTTCCAATGTGTTTCAAATAAATTAGACAGCATTTAAAATTTGTAAGTATTATAATGCATCCCAGCAGATATGTCCAGGAATGCATGCTAATGAGATGCTTGATCTTCATGATAAGCGTCACAAACTGTCCTCATTTGTAAAAAAAGTCACCAAGACATAATAATGTCAAATATGAAGTGATATGAAAATGACACTTTGTGTTGCTTCTCATAAGGAGCATGCATCTCATTAGCATTCAATCCTGGACTTAGTGCATTGCAGGTTGTCAAGGCTGATTTACACACTCTGATTTTCGGCTGACATAAAAGATTGAAACATCGAAAAAATACTTTGTTGATAAAAGAAATCCATAGTGAATTTAGTATGACATGTAATTTTAAAGAAATCTGTACAGCAGATATTTAATAGATTCACCTCTGAAAAAGTTGTGTAGTTGCCATGCATCAATGAACATGAAAGGCCTGTATGTTTACTTTCTTCAGCGAAAGTTTATGAAAAATAATGAATCAGAGCTTGCAACATGGAAGCTTTTTTATAAATAACAGAATTAAATTTAGCCATTTTCCCTGTTCTTTTAGAAAAAAGTGGCAAACTGTTTATGCATGAAAAACGCATGATTTGCATCACTTTAGTGTCATTTTGTGGAAATATAGAAGTGCCAAAAATTTTTGGCGACTAACATACTGGTGCTGAGAACCAATTCTGAAAACTTAGGGACCAGCTGGCCCCAAGGTTTTTTTCCTGAAAGTCGAGGCTTGTCTCTGCTCAAGTGAAAATTGAAAGTGTCCTCTTTCAAAACTTGCCCATTGTGATCGATTAAGATTGAGAAAAATGTGTTGATTTTCATTGATTAATTGAGGCAATCAATTGTATTAATTATGTTGATTGTCTCAGGTTGTATGCATATAGGATTGAAGAGTCTGGGGTCAATCCCAGGTGTGGGTTTGAAAATTTGTTTTTCCACTCTGAGAGACATCTTTGTAAATGAAATAAGGCTCTAAAACGATGTGATATCAACCAACAACACAGGATTGCCACATAAGGAAATTTGTGGTGCTGTTATGAGTAAGCAAATAGCTTGGGGTTCATACGGGTCCTGGAAAACCTGGAAAATCCTGGAATTTTACTGTGGCATTTTCCAGGACTGGAAGTCCTGGAGAAGGGCTAGTGGTCCTGGAAAATTCTGGAAATCTGTTAAACCCAAGTAAAAATATAAAATGTATGGCAGACAGTAGGGAGAATTAACATTGAGATCTTGGGAGTGAAAGGGTTAATGTGAATTTATAGTCCTGGAAAAATCAATCTGACTCCTGGAAAAGTCCTGGAAATTTGTCTCTGAAAAAGGGTACGAACCCTGTGCATACAGTTTAAAGGGTGTGTAAGGAAACTTAGAAATAAAGGAAAATGATTATGCTATTAATAAACTGGTGTATTTGAAAACTGTAAATGTGAATTGTGTGACATGAAAATTGACTAATAATAATACACTCCCCCCTGCTTTTGCTTGCCATGTTCACATACTAGGATATCAACACAATTGAACTAAAACTAAACTTAGTACAGTTACAAGCACAATGCAGTAAAATTAATAAAATCCTGGGCATGCAAAGGTTGCTGTGTTTTCCCTAGTTGAGTGTTTACAGAACAAGGCTGTGGTGGTCTGTCGGGCTCTGTAGCTTGGATAAGTGCAAGCTCAGATTGAATCCATTTGGGGATGCCATACTGATAGACAAAGAACTGGTACGTAACTGCTCTGGCTTGGTGCAATGACTCCCTTGTCAAGTAGCTCTTGCATGTCCTGCTTGACCTCTGTCAGGTGATTTGACCGAACTCATCTGTTTCGCTAGGCCACTGCTACATCATCACTGGTAAGGATACTGTGCTGTATGGTTGTGGTTCAGCTTGGGTCTTCTACATATCTGCAAATACTTCGGCGTGAAAAGTAAAGATTCGCAGTTCCTCTTGCTTCTTAGCTGGGAAATCTGTCAATGTGATTCTAGCAGGGTGATCTTGCTCTCTCTGGGGAGCTGGAGGTTGCACAACCTCCAGCAGTGGAAATTACTAGCTGTCTGCTCTCAGGGGCTATGATATGATTACGTCATTACTCCATATGTTTTCACTGGTCACTCCATGAATAGATGTTTGCACCCTTTATTTGGCAATGCAGGTTGAATATTGGCAGCTCATTAGCTGAAGTGAACCTACCAATAAATTAAATAAACACCATGCAATGCATTCAGAAGGAATGACATTTAAACTGCCATTTCAAAAATTCTGTGTAGAAAATTGGAAAATAAACAAACAAATGGATGCTTAAATCACCCTCGCACCCAGCCTCTTCGTTCCCTTTGACCAGCTTGTTTCATCAAGCCAGCATGTGCAGTAAGGAACAAAGACTTGAGGTACGAGATTGATGCTTAAACATAAGACATGGGTCGCACTGTGGACGTTTTTTGTTTTTGTCACACAAATTTGTTGGGGCATTTACCCCCAGAGGGTTACTGGAGTCACACGTTTGTGACATAAAAGATATATGATACCATTTTGATAATAGTTATTATATTATCAGCTCAAAGCTGAAAAGGACTTCCTCATGGTTAAAGCATCATCTCTCCCTTTGGCTAGACTTTTTCTTTTACACGTTTTCTCCAAGGATGCTTCTTTTGTGTGACTGAAGGCTGCTCTAGACTGGGAGGTAATGACAAAGCTACTTGTGGCTGTGCTTTTTGCTGCTGAAAACAACTTGGCTGCGAGTCATTTCCACTATGGTATGAAAACTGAAAGCGTTGAAATTTGTACGGATTAAAGTGGTCGGCCACATTGAAGAATTACAACTGATAACGTTTTGTGACAATTGGGAAAATGTTGAAGCAAGAGTTCTGTACACATGATGCATGCTTGCTTGTCAATCTAA